TCCTGTATCACACCCACCCTCCCCCAGAACCTCGGTTGTTATGGTTACTGCTGCACTGCACATATAGCCACAAATGTGTGCACACACAAACATACAACATAGTCACACACAGTATGTGGGAATGCACACACAAGACACATACACCAGTTTTGCTTTTTTTCTTGGAGTGGGTCTGTCCATGTAAACCTGTGACATTTGTGAGATGACAATGCTTGTATTGTGCTGTGACAGAAAATCCAGCTAAGATACTGAAACACTAGTGCACATATGCACATGCATACAGTGCATACAAACAAGGAAACTACAAAAAGAGACAGCATACTATAAAATGATGTACTGATACTGGACCTAAATCATGACCCTATTTCTATTTTGTTCCTTATTAAAGACAATGGTAAAACACTGGCACAAAAATACACATACTGTATGCAAACATTATTTTTCAAGGTAAAACTTTCAGATTCCAGTCAGGCTGTTGGCAAAGCTCCCTAGTTAATAATTTATAATATAATTATAGTCTCCATCTAAAAAAACAAAAAGCCAGTGAAATCCCCTCTGTAATTCAATGAGAAATGTGATCTGAGACCAAACTGAGAAAGAGAATCCCCTCACCTACAGGCAGTCTGGTGGCTTAATAAATCTAAAAACCAACTATCTCTTACAGTTCACATGCCTCCAAAGTGGCTTCACAATGTATTCAGACACTTTTTGCATGCTTCACTGGTTTGCAGATTTCATTTTTAAATGGATAAATTTGTCATTTTTGTGAAAAATATTATAAACGGCAAGATTTTTTTCTAATGCTAAACATATCACATTAAATATATTTATTTATATTTATTACTTTCATTTTGTGACTAGTTTAGATGAGCATTAAGTATGACAATTCCATAATCTGTCAAATATCAGCAGTAAAAATAATACTGGATCAGTGCCAATACTGCCTTATCAGCAATGTAGAAATTATGCCAATGCACTTAGACAAATTAAGCTGCCCACAGGTATAATATCACTGTCTGGTAGTGTCAAAGTATAAGAGAATAATTGGATCTTGCTTAACTGGAAAAGCATTTGGAAATATTAAAAGTAGTTATATAAGTAGTAATAGTATTAGTAAACTGCCTGAAAACAACTTTTAAATACGAAAACTACTAAAATCTCCATAAAATTTTTGAAATTATGTAGTTTGTAGGGA